AAGGGTTTCAGGGGGGATCTGGGGACCAGAACCCCTCTGGGATTCCCCATAGCGACCCCACCCACACGTGCAAACACGTGTGTTTCCCCCCCCTCCACGTGTCTGTGCCTGGTCACGTGCGTCCCCGTGCACACGCGTGTGCCCCAGGCGTGGTAAAGCCCGACACGTACAAGCCGGTGCCGGATGAGCCCCCGAATCCCACCAACGTGGAGGAGACGCTGCGGCAGATCCAGGCCAACGACGGGGCTCTGGAGGACGTCAACCTCAACAACATCAAGGTGAGGGACCCGGTGGCAGTCTCCCCAGGGTGTCCCCAGGGTGCTAATCCCAGTCCTGGGGTCCCCATCCCCACGGGGCTGGTCCCTATCCCAGGGTGTCTCCAGGGCACCCCAAGGTGCTGGTCCCCGTGCTGGGGGGCATCACGCTGGGGCTGGTCCCTGTCCCAGAGTGTCCCCAGGGTGACGGGTCCCACGCTGGGGTGTCCCCATGGGGCTCGGTCACCCTGTCCCAGGGTGCTGCTCGCTGTCCCAGGGCGTCTCTGGGGAGATGGTCTCTGTCTTGGGGTATCCCTGGGATTTTTGTCCCCGTCTTAGAGTGGCTCCAGGACACCAGTCCTCATCTGGGGGCACCTGTGTCCCTTTGGTGACATCCCCCATCCCCTCAGTGACATCACCTCCCTGGGGTGACATCCAGCTCCCTCTTGGGGTTCTCTACACCCCCTCGCTGCCACTTACATCCCCCTTGGCGACACCCACATCCCCTCAGGGGTGTCCCCCTCTCCGTGGTGACACCCACCTCACGTCCCCGTGCCGCAGGACATTCCCATCCCCACGCTGAAGGCCATCTGCGAGGCCATGAAAACCAACACCCACGTCAAGAAGCTCAGCCTGGTAGCCACCCGCAGCAACGACCCCGTGGCCAGCGTGAGTCCCGGCCCCGTGTCCCCACACGTCCTCAGACAGGGAGGGGACACGGCCCCCGGCTCCCAGCTCCATCCTGGGCACCAGCAAGCCGAGGTGACGGTGGCTTTTCCACCATCACCTGGGGGATTGGTGGCCCAGGACATGCCAGAGCGGGGGGTGCCAAGCCTGGGTGACACCCCAAGGTGACGCCCTGAGGTGACACGCAGGCTGTGGCCGAGATGCTGACGGAGAACAAGACCCTGCAGAGCCTCAACATCGAATCCAACTTCATCACCAGCGCTGGCATGATGAGCATCATCAAGGCCATGTACAACAACACCACCCTGAGCGAGCTCAAGGTGGACAACCAGGTAAGGGACAGGCACCCATGGGTGGCCCGGGGAGGGGACAGGACTGTCCCCAACCTCCCGGTGTGCCTGGTTTCCGCCCCCCCTCTGGCCCCGCAGTGCCAGCGGCTGGGCGACACGGTGGAGATGGAGATGGCCACCATGCTGGAGCAGTGCCCGTCCGTCGTGCGCTTCGGCTACCACTTCACGCAGCAAGGCCCCCGCGCCCGCGCCGCCACCGCCATCACCAACAACAACGAGCTCCGTGAGTGTCCCCGGCGTCCCCTCCTGGGGCAGGAGTCGTGGGGAGGGGTCCCGGCCCTCACACCCCACCCCCCTTTCTTCTGCCCTCAGGTCGCAAGCAGAAGAAAACCTAACGCCCCCCCAGCACGGCACGACGACGGAGCTCCAGCTCCTGCTGCCCGGCGCCGCTGTAAATAAAAGAGACGGAGAGACGCGGCTTTGGGATCCGCTCAGAAGCATCCCGGGGCAGGATTGGCACGGGGGGGGGGCCGGAATCGGGATCACGGGGATTGCCTGAGGGAGGGAGCACCCCCCCCCCCCCGCCTGGCAGGGCTCGAGATCCCATGTTTGCACCCGGTCGTTAATCCACAGGGGCCTGGATCCCCTCAGGGAGCAGCGGCGCTGACGTGGTTATACCCCGGGCACTGGGTTATGGCACCAGGAGGGGTGGGGGGAGAAGGGTAACCCCCCCAACAGGCACCGAGCTGAGCACCCAGAGACTTGGTGGGGGGGGACACAGGGCCTATTTATAGGTCCCACCACCTATTTATAGGTTCCCTCCAGCTACTTACAGGCGCGAGCTGAGCAAGCGGGTAAATCCCGGTGCCCGGGGGAGTGGCATCGCCCCGAGCAGTGCTGCCAGGGAGCCCCCCCCAGGGGAAGGATCGGGCCCCGGGGGCCCAGAAACACCCTTTGGGTGGGTGGCGGGTGCTGTCCCAGGGATGTGGATGCTGGCTCAGGGCCCTGACCCGTTAACGACAGTCCCATCGATGTGGGAGCACCTGCAGGCACCCAAAGCCTGGTAGGAAAAGCAGTGGGGGGGAGGGGGTGGAACTGAGGCAGGGGGAGGGCGGCGTGGCCGGGCACCTTCCAAGGTGCTGAGACAGCTGCTGGGGCTGGGGAGGAGGGGGGGAACCCGGCACCGCCACCCCAAAAGGCCACGACCCGCAGGCAGCTGCCAGCGTGCAAGAAAACGAGTGTGACTTGGGCGAGGGATGGGAGGGGACGGGCTGAAACCCACATGGAGGTTGGTGGCGCTCACAGGGCTCTGGCGGGGGTGGGGGGGGACACCCCAAAAAGGCACCAGGTTGAGCATCTCGTGGTGGCAAAACGCTGGGACCCCCGATATCACCCCTCCCCGGGACCTGCCCCAACGGCTCAGACACCTCCGTCCTCTCCAGCTGCCTCTATTAACGGCGGGGCTCGGGGACAGCCAGGGGGGAGCGTCCCCGTCCCCAGGGGGGAGCGGTGGGGCAGAGGGGGGCCTCAGGCCGGCAGCAGCACAGGCGGCTCATCCTCGTCAGAATCGAATTCGGCATTTTCATCCTTCACCCACTTGCCGGAGCGGTCCTGGATCCAGCCGGCGCTGGGGACGGACGGACGGACAGACGGGGGGAGTGAGAGGCAGCTCGTTGTGGGGTTCCCCAAACCCCCAGGGGCGGGGCGGGGGGCGCCGAGACTCACCTCCGCAGCTGCAGGTATCTCTCCAGGGCCTGGCGCCTCTCGGGGCTGAGCGCTTCGGGCCGGCTCAGCGCCGACGATGAGTTTTTTCCTTTGCCACCTCGCTGCGTCCGGGCCGGAGCCGCCTTCGGTGCGTCTGGGAGGGCAGAGAGGGGCTGGTGGAACCCTCCGGAACAGGAGAGGCCCAGGCACCTGGCCCCGCCGGTGCTGGCGCAGCCCCGGGGCCGCCGGCCGGCTCTTACCCGCTCGCCCGCCGCGGTGCCCCGGCAGCAGGGCTGTGGGGCTGGTGTCCACGGCTCCTCCGTCCTCCCGCGACGGCTCCGGCAGCGTCAGGGCAGCGCTCAGCCCCGTTTGGGTGACGCCAGCTCGCGAGCCGCTTCCCTCCACCCTGCGACAAGAGAAGGGATCAGGGCCTCGTCCCACGAACACCCGACGGCGGCGAGGCCACTCCCGAAAGCCCAGAGCTTTCCCCCGTCCCCCCCAGCAGCGAAACCAAAGCTCTTACCCCGTCCTCCGGCAGCAGCTGCTGTAGGGAGCTGCTTTCAGCAGAGCGCTCCGGGCAATCCTCCGCGTCTGTGCCAGAAGAGGGGCCGGGGAGCCCTGGGGAGAGGGGACAGAGTTCAGGGGGGGCGGCCTGGCCGGGGGGGTGGGAAGGGGTTCCGCACCAACCTGCGTGCCTGCCTCCTCTGCCCGCACCTCCTCCTCGTGCTGCTGCTTCTGGACCACGTCCTGGAGCGAGCGCTTCTTGCCGTAGAACCGCTGCAGGCCTGGGGGAGGGCGAAGAGGATGAGGATGGGGGGGCGGGGGGGGACACACATGGACACGGACACAGACGCTCGCTCAGCACAGCCCACCCACCCACCCACCCACCCACACACTTACTGCCCGTGTGCTTCTTGCCAGCCCTGTGGACCGTCAGCACGTCCAGCGTGTCGAAGACGGGGCGGTGGGCACACACTGTGCAGGCGTACCTGGGGGGGGGGGTGGAGAGGGGGGAAAGGTGCCGTCAGGACCCCCCAGGCAGCTGGAGCAGGGGGGGGGCTGCGCTCAGGGGTCTCGCTCACCTCCCGCTCCTCAGCAGCAGTGCCTCATCCTCGGGGATGTAGTTGGCCAACAGGTCTGCGACGCGTCTTTTCTGGGAGAGATCGAGGGGGCCGGCTGAGCGCTTGTGCCCCCCCCTCTGCTTGCTGCCCCAAATTAGGGGTGTCTGCCCCTAATTTGCCCCTCAGGGAACTAGCCCTTGCCCCCAGCCCTCTTCAACCCCTTCGGCCGGGAAACCTCCTCCCCCAGGGGGGACCCCTCTCTGAGGGAGCGGGGGGGGGGGGGTAACGGCGGTGCCAAGGCTGGGGAGGGGGCAGTTGGGGGCAGGTTGAGGCAGGGGAAAGGGGAAATTTGAGGGAGCGGTTTGGGCCAAGAGGAGTATTTGGGGTGCTGGGAAGGGAACCCGGGGGGGGTGGGAGGGGTCAAGAGACAGCAGGAGTGAGGGGGAATGGGGGGGCAGGGGAGGGTTTGCGGGCGGGAGGGGTATTCACAGGCAGGGAGGGTGGGCCGGAACCGGTGAGGGGGGGGGCAAGGGGCCAGCCCGGGGTGGTGGGGGGAGGCCGGGGCCAGGGTCGGTGATTTGGGGGGGGGGGGGGGGGTCGAGGCCCACCTGCAGCACCCCCAGCTGAGCGGGGTCGTCCCCCTCCCGCTTGAAGGACATGGCGCCCGGCCCGCAGTTACCATGGGAACCGCCCCGCCTTCGGGCCGTGACCAACTTCCGGGCGCTTGTTTCCCGGCGGGCTGCGCGCGGGAGCGACGACCAATTAGAGAGCGCGGGAGGGCTCGCCGCGCCCGCCCGGGAGGCCCCGCGGCATGCTGGGAGTTGTAGTTCTACCGCGCCGCCCGCCCCCCCCGCGGGGCATTTGGGGGGGCAGATAACCCCTCCCAGGGGCAGACACCACTCCCCCCTCACAGGGGAAGGGACCGGAGAGGACCCCGGTGTGGGGGTGGCGGCATGACTTTCCGCGGGGGCGGGCGGAGTGTCCGGGGCTCCCGGACTACAAGTCCCAGAAGCCTCTGCGGGGGCCGAGCCGGGGAGTCAGCGGCCTCACCGGGGCCGGGGGTCGCCCCCGTCAGCGGCGGCCGCGGCGCCGGGGCCCTGGGTCGGTTCCCCCCGCCCGGGCTGGGGCCGTTCGCATGAGTCCCCGCTCCTCCCGCGCCGGCGGGGCCCAGGGCTGAGTGGGGCCGTCCCGCCATGGCGGCGGGGAGTGGGGGAGCGGGGGCCTCCCCCCGGGAGCACCGCCTGGAGCCCGGGGACACGCTGCCGGGGCTGGCGCTGCGCTACGGGGTGACGGTGAGTGGCCGAGGGGAGCGGGGGGGGGGGGGCGCGGGGCACGGCCGGGGGGGCCCTGGGGAAGGATCGCCGGGGTAGGGCGGCCCCGGGGCCCCCCGGCAGCCCCCCGGGGCCGCCCCGGTGCCCTGCTGTCCCTGTCCCCTTCCCTCGCCCACCCTGGCCTTGTGGCTGTCCTCCCCCCATCGCTGTCCCCCGCCTTGTCCCCATCCCATCCTTATATCTGTCCTCATCCCCTCACTGTCCTTGTCCCTGTCCCCACCACATCCCCGTCCCCATTTTTATCCCCACCCCAATCTGTTCCCATCTCATCCTTATCTCCATCCCCAACCCCTTGCTGTCCTTGTCCCTGTCCCCACCCTTATCCTGTCCCCATTTTTGTCCTCACCCCATCCTGTCCCCACCCCATCCTTATCCCATCCTTATCCCGTCCCCATTTGTGTCCCCACCCCTCCCCGTCCCCATTTGTGTCCCCACCCCTCCCCGTCCCCATTTTTGTCCCTAACCCCATCCTGTCCCCATCCCATCTTTATCTCCATCCCCATCCCCTCGCTGTCCTTATCCCTGTCCCCATTTTTGTCCCCACCCTTATCCCATCCCCATTTTTATGCCCACCCCGTCCCCGTCCCTGTCCCCGGCAGATGGAGCAGATCAAGCGCGCCAACCGCCTCTACACCTCGGACACCATCTTCCTCAAGCCCACCCTCCTCATCCCTGTGCCGGCGCAGCCGGGGGGACCCTGCCCCGAGGACAAGGACGAGGACAAGGACGTCCCCTCGGGGGACACCCCGTCTGCCCCGTCCCACCACGACCTCTCGGCCACCGATTTCCTCAGGCGGCTCGACGCCGAGATCGGGCGTTCCAAGGCGGCGGCGGCGGCGCAACGGCTCCGTGCTGGCGGCACAGGGTGAGCGCGCCCGTCCCGCCTCCCCGTTTGGGGCAAAACCGGGGTCTTTCGGGCAGGTGGGTTTGGCCGCAGGGCGGGTGACAAGGCCACCCCTCAGTGCCACCCCGCTGCGTCCCCTGCAGCATGGCCGAGGCCGAAGGCAGCCGGTGCCCCGATGCCGGGGTCCCGCCGGCCCCCCGCGGCCCCCGCCTCGGCCCCCGGCCCCTCACCAGGACCCCGCGGGCGGCCGCCCTCCGCGACGCCGAGGACGAGATCTTCACGCTCTGACGCCGGGGATGGGACGCCGTGACACCCACCCCGTGGGGACGGGGACCCTGGGGCACCCCCGGCGCCCAGCCTCCCCTGCCAGGGGATGCCGGAGGGGACACAGGGATTTTGGGGGTGACACAGTGTCCCTTCCCTGTCTCCTTCGAGGGACCTTTCCCGCTGGAGGGACACGCAGAGCCAGCCCTCTCGCAGGGCGACTGGGAGGGACTGGGAGGAGATTTACCAGCTGGTTTTCCTCTGTTGTATTTATTTGTACGTCTTTGCTCTTGCAGGGGGTGGGACCCCCCCATGCCAGTGCCTGGACCCCCCCCAGGGACAGGGACGGTCACCCCCCCACCCCGAGAGCCTGTAAATAAAATGGAGCACTGTCACCTGGCTCTGCCTGTTTGCCACCCCCCTGGAGACACCATCACACCCCCCTGGGGACACCGTCACCCCCTGGGGATGCTGTCACCCCTTAGGGACACACTCGGGGGTCACCCAGGGGACTGGGTGCCACACCACGTGGTGCCACCAGGTGTCACCCTGAGCCTGCACCCTTGGGACCCCCCCCAGAGCCTCAGAGGGCTCCCCAGGGCCCCCCAGGATGTCCCCAGGGTCCCCTGTGCCCCCCCCGGGGGTGCTGGTGACACAGACCGGAGCCCGAGTGGCAGCTGGGTTGGGGGGTGAGCCCAGTAGCTCCCAGTGCCCACTGGGTGCAAACGGCCATATGCTGGTGTGGGAGAGGCGGCAGGGTGACACCCGCAGTGGTGACAGCCAGCCTTGTCGCACACACGCGTGCAAGGGACCCCTTCCCCCGCTCCCCCCCCGCGCGGGTATTTGCGCATCGGGCGTGTGTACACGCGTGTGCACCGACACGGGTGGGAGAAGGGGGGGGGGGGGGGGGGCGGTGGTGTGGGTGCTCGCGCGCCAGTGTGCGCAGAGCCCCGCCCCGGCGCGCGAGCACCCACGCGGCGCTCACCCCGCCGGGCGCAGGGCTGTGCCCGCTCCCACGCGTGTGCGCACACGCGTGTGAAAGCATCCCTTCCCCCCTCCCTAGCAGCTAATGAGGATTATCTCATTAACGGGGATTAACGCCTAGCCGTCGCGTGGCCCCGGCGGCGGGGGCGGGGTGGGGTGGGTGTGTGTCCCGGGTGGGGTCCCACGGGGGTCCCCGGTCCCGCCCTCGGCTCCGGCCGCCGGCCGGTCCCGGCCCGTTCCGGGGCGGAGCCGCTCGGGGCCGTTCGGGACCGTTCGGGTCCTTTCGGGTCCGTTCGGGTCCGTTCGGGGAGTGGAGCCGGTACCGCACGCCGAGGGGTCGGGTCGGGGAGGGGGGGGCGATCTGTTGCGAGGGGTGCTGTGGGGTGTGGGTGGGGTGCTGTGGGGTGTGCGTGGGGTGTCGGGGCGGGAAAAAGGGAGCGTGTTGTGGGGGGGCCGGTGGGGTGTTGGGGCGGGGTGTTCCGGGGGGTTACTTGGGGTGCAGCTGGGGGGGGTGTCGGTGGAGGGGGGGGGTGCTGTTGGGGTGTTTGGGGGGGTGCAGGTGGGCGCTGTGGAGCCGAGCGCTGTGCGGGTGTTGTGCCGGGGGGGGGGTGGTGAGTGGGTGTGTGTGGGGGTACTGGGGTGCGCCCAGCCGTGCCCCGCTGCACACGCCGGTGCCGCGAGTGGTGTCCGGGGGCACTGGGGACGCTGGGAGGGGGGCACTGGCAGCAAGTCCCCGCTGTCCCCACGCCCCCCCCCCCCCCCCCCCGTGCCTCAGTTTCCCCGTGCTGAGATGGGCCCCTCGCAGCCCGGGGGGAGGGGGGTGTCACCCTCAACCCCGCGGCCCCTCCGGGCGCCTGTGCCGATGCCGGGGGTCCCGCTGCCCTTCGTCCTCCTCCTCCTCCTCCTCACCCCGGGGGGGTCGGCGCAGGCCTTCCCGCGGGACCTGGCCCCGCGCAGCACCGTGGGGTTGGCAGGTGAGGCGGGGGCGGCACCGGGGGGGGGGGGGGGTGTCCCGGGGCTGGGGGGGGCCGGCGGGGTGTCACCGCGTCCCGCCCGGCCCCGCAGCCACCGCCGCCTACCCCCGCTTCGGCGGCCTCGGGGGCCCCAACGCCACCGCCCAGCTCGGCCTCGACTTCCAGCACATGCTGCGCCTCAACGGCAGCCTGCTCGTCGCCGCCCGGTGAGCCGCTCGTGAGCGCTCGTGCGCGCTCGTGCACGCTTGTGCGCGCTCGTGTGCGCTCGTGCGCGCGTGCGCTCTCTGCTTGGGCACGGTTGGGCCCGGCTGTGCGTGCTTCTGTGCGCTTGGGCACGGTGGTGTGCACGGTCGTGTGCGCTCCTGGGCACGGTTGTGTGTGCTTGTGTGCGCTCGTGCGCGCTTGTGCACGCATGTGGCCTGTGCTTGTGCACGCTTGTGTGCACTTGTGGTCTCTGCTTGTGCATGCTTGTGCGTGCTTCTGTGCGCTTGGGCACGGTGGTGTGCACGGTCGTGTGCGCTCCTGGGCACGGTTGTGTGTGCTTGTGTGCGCAGCTCGTGCACGCTCGTGCGCGCTTGTGCACCCATGTGGCCTGTGCTTGTGCACGCTTGTGCACACTTGTGTGCACTTGTGGTCTCTGCTTGTGCGGGGTTGTGCGTGCTTGTGTGCGCTTCTGTGCGCTTGTGCTTTGTGCTTGTGTGCGCTGGTGCACAGTTGTGTGCACGGTTGTGTGTGCTTGTGTGCTCTTGTGCGCGCTTGTGGCCTGTGCTTGTGTGCACGGTTGTGAACAGTTGTGCACGGTTGTGCCTGCTTCTGTGTGCTTCTGTGCGCTTGTGCATGCTCGTGTGTGCTTCTGCACACTTGTGGTTTGTGCTTATGCACGCTTGTGCGCGCTTGTGGTCTCAGCTTGTGCGCACTTGTACACGGTTGTGCACGGTTGTGTGCACTTGTGTGCGCTTGTGGTCTCTGCTTGTGTGTGCTTGTGCACAGTTGTGCACGGTTGTGCATGCTGGTGCCCAGCTGTTCCTGTGTATGCTTGTGTGCACACTTGTGGTCTGTGCTTGTGCACGCTTGTGCACGCTTGTGTGTGGTTGTGCGTACTTGTGCAGAGTTGTGTGCACTTGTGTGTGCTTGTGGTCTGTGCTTGTGTTCGCCTCTGTGTGACTGTGCACGCTCGTGTGTGTTTGTCCGCGCTTGTGGTCTCTACTTGTGCACACTTGAGCACGCTTGTGTGCGCTTGTATGCACTTCCGTGCACTTGTAGTCTGCACACTTGTGGTCTGTGCTTGTGCATGCTTGTGTGCACTCATGCACGCTTTTTTGTGCTTCTACACACTGCACTCACTCCTCTGTGCACTGCTTCTCGGTGCACACCCGTGTGTGGTTGTGCACGTGCGAGGTCATCCATCCCCCCTTTGTGTGCTTGTACCTGCCTGTGCATACGTGTGCCCGCTTGTACATGCTCGTGCACCCTTCTACGTGCTTGCCCATGCTTGTGCGCCCCTGTGCACGTTTCTAGACGCTCGTGCAAGCTTGCGGGCGCTTGTTCACACTTGCACGAGCTTCAGAGGCTTGTTTGCTCCTGCGCGTGCCTGTCCACGCCCACGCACGCTTACACACGCTGGCACACGCTTGTGCCCGCTTGCACCCGCTCGAGCCCGACGCCCCCTCCCTCCCCCCCGCCTTGCACGCCTGTGTCCCCGCGCCCCCTCCCCGCGCCCCCCCCCGTGCCCCCTCGCACGCTCACACCCCCCCCAGGGACCACATCTACGCCTTCGACCTGGGGCAGGACGAGGGGACGCTGTACCCCCAGCGGGTAAGGGGGGTCGGGGTCGCCGGCTCCGGGGACACAGGGGGGGCGCGGGGAGGGGGTCCCCGTGCCCACCCCCCCGTGTCACCCGGCAGCACCTCACCTGGGAGACGCGGGACAGGGAGAACTGCGCCATGCGGGGCCGGCTGCAGGTGTGGGGGGCGGGGTGTGGGGTGCCTGGTATGGGGGTACGGGGTGTGGGGTACAGGGTGTGGGGGTGTGGGGTGTGGGGTACCCGGTATGGGGGTGCGGGGTGTGGGGTACAGGGTGTGGGGGTGTGGGGTGTGGGGTACCCGGTATGGGGGTGCGGGGTGTGGGGTACAGGGTGTGGGGGTGTGGGGTGTGGGGTGTGGGGTACCCGGTATGGGGGTGCGGGGTGTGGGGTGTGGGGGTACCCAGCATGGGGGTACTGGGTGCGGTGTGTGGGGGCACGGGGCGTGGGGGTATATGGTAGGGGGGGTATAGGGGGAATGGGGGTGCAGGGTGGGGGGGTACAATGTATGGAGTGTGTGGTATGGGGGTGTAGGGGTGCAGGGTGTGGGGGTGCAGGGTGTGGGGGTACATAGTGGGGGGGTACAGGGTGTGGGGGTGCAGGGTGTGGGAGATAGAAGGGATGGGGGCAAAGAGGGGGCTGGGGGCAGGAGGAGGAGGGGGTGACGGGTCCCCCCCGTGCCCCCCCCCCGGGTGCCCCCCCGTGTCCCCCCCACGCAGGACGAGTGCCACAACTACATCAGGGTGCTGGTGCCCCGCGACGCCGGCACCCTCCTGGCCTGCGGCACCAACGGCTTCAGCCCCCTCTGCCGCACCTACCAGGTGGGGGGGCCGGGGGGGGGCGAGTGTGATGAGTTGGGGGGGGCTCAGCCCCCGCTGGGGAGTGCGGGTGGGGCGTGATGAGTTTTGGGGGGCTCAGCCCCCGCTGGGGAGCGCGGGTGGGGCGTGATGAGTTTTGGGGGGCTCAGCCCCCGCTGGGGAGTGCGGGTGGGGCGTGATGAGTTTTGGGGGGCTCAGCCCCCGCTGGGGAGCGCGGGTGGGGTGTGATGAGTTTTGGGGGGCTCAGCCCCCGCTGGGGAGCGCGGGTGGGGTGTGATGAATTTTGGGGGGCTCAGCCCCCACCAGGGAGCGTGGGTGGGGTGTGATGAGTTGGGGGGGGGCTCAGCCCCCGCCGGGGAGCGTGGGTGGGGTGTGATGAGTTTTGGGGGGCTCAGCCCCCACTGGGGAGCGCAGCGGGGCAGTGCCCAGCAGTGTGATGAGCGGGGGGGTCCTCAGCATCTCAGTGGTGCCGGGGGGGGGGGGTTGGGGGGGGGCAGCGGGAGGGTGTGATGAGTGTGTGTGTGTGGGGGGGGGGGGTCTCATCGCTTTGGGGATCCCCCCCCCCAGGTGAGCAGCCTGGCGCAGGAGGGCGAGGAGGTGAGCGGCCAGGCCCGGTGCCCCTTCGACGCCAAGCAGAGCGTCGTTGCCCTCTTCATCGGTGGGTGCTCGGGGGGGGGACACACACACACACATTGGGGTGCCCTGGGATGGGGGGGGACATGGCTGACACCGCTGTGTGTCCCCCCCCCCGCAGACGGCAGCCTCTACTCGGCCACGGTGGCCGATTTCCAGGCGAGTGACGCGGTGATCTACCGCAGCCTCAGCCCCGGCCGCCCCCCCCTGCGCACCCTCAAGTACAGCTCCCGCTGGCTGCAGGGTACCCCAAAAATGGGGGGGGGGCGGGGGGGGGGGGAAGGGGGCGCAGGGATGGGGACGAGGGGTGTATGGGGGGCAGTGGGGAGAGGGCGTATGTGGGGGGGTGAGGGGGACGGGCATTGGGGGGCTGGAGGCGGGTAAGGGGTGCGGGGGGTGTATAGGGGCTGGGGCGGACGCGGGGGGGCTGGGATCGGGGGGTACGGGGTGGTGGGGGCTGACGGCCCCCCCCCGCCCCCCCAGAGCCCCACTTCGTCCAGGCGCTGCCCTACGGCCCCTACGTCTACTTCTTCTTCAGGGAGGTCGCGGTGGAGCTCAGCACCCTGGGCAAGGTGGGTGCGGGGGCACCCAGGCACCCACCCCCTGGCACCAAGGTGGGGGAGACCCCAGGGCCCCTCCCCAGGGGCGTCCAGCTGGGTGCTGGTGCCTCCCAGGGTGCTGACACCCATGGGTGCCCACGTGCCAATGCCCACGGAGTCTCCAGTGCCAACAGCCATGAGTCCCCGGGTGCTGACACCCCTGGGTGCCGATGCCCACGGGTCCCTGGGTGCTGACACCCCTGGGTGCTGACACCCCTGGGTGCCGATGCCCGCGGGTCCCCGGGTGCTGACACCCCTGGGTGCTGACACCCCTGGGTGCCGATGCCCGCGGGTCCCCGGGTGCTGACACCCCTGGGTGCTGACACCCCTGGGTGCCAATGCCCGCGGGTCCCCGGGTGCTGACACCCCTGGGTGCTGACACCCCTGGGTGCCGATGCCCGCGGGTCCCCGGGTGCTGACACCCCTGGGTGCTGACACCCCTGGGTGCCGGTGCAGGTGGCGGTGGCGCGGGTGGCGCGGGTGTGCCGCAATGACCGGGGCGGGTCCCCGCGGGTGCTGGAGCGGCGCTGGACGTCCTTCCTGAAGGTGCGGCTGCAGTGCGCCGTCCCCGGCGACGCCGTCTTCTATTTCGACGTCCTGGAGGCCGTGACCCCCCCCCGGGCCCTGCACGGGCGCCCCGCTGTCCTCGCCCTCTTCGGCACCCAGCCCAACAGGCACGGCGGCGGGGACGGGGGGACGCGGGGACGGGGGTGGCCAAGGGGACGTGGGGCTGTAGGGAGAGGGGAGCGCGGCATGGGGGGACGGGGGGACAGGAGAGATGGGGACATGGGGGTGCCACTCACCTGGGGACATGGGGACATGGGAAGGGCAGACGTGAGGGTGCACTGATAGGGGGACACGGGAGGTGGGGACGTGGGAGAGACACGGGGACGTGGGGATGCACTGACCTGGGGAAGTGGGGACGTGGGAGGGACAGACATGGGGACGTGGGGATGCCACTCACCAGGGGACACGGGGACGTGGGAGGGACAGACATGGGGACGTGGGGATGCCACTCACCAGGGGACACGGGGACGTGGGAGGGACAGACATGGGGACGTGGGGATGCCACTCACCAGGGGACACGGGGACGTGGGAGGGACAGACATGGGGATGCACTGACATGGGGACATGGGGACACGGGGATGGGGACACGGGGATGGACTCACCGGGGGCCATGGGGACACAGTGGGACAGGACACAGGGACGCAGGGACAGGGGAACAGGGAGCGGGGACAGAGCGGGGCCCAGGCAGGACACGGGGGGGGCTCTGGCCCAAACCGGTGCCCGACCCGGCAGCCCCGGGAGGGGACAGGGGTGTCCCCAGTGCCGGTGCCACCCCCCGCCACCACCGCAGCATCCCCGGCTCGGCCGTCTGCGCCTTCTACCTGGCCGACGTGGAGCGGGCGTTCGAGGGACCCTTCGCCGAGCCCCGCGGCGCCGCCGGCACCTGGACCCCGGTGCCCGAGGACAGGGTGCCCCGACCCAGGTACCCCCCGGCCCCGACGCCTGGGTGGGCCCCCCCCCCCCCCCCCGCCGTGGCTCCCCCCCCTCCCCCGGGGGCGCGGTGGCCACCCGGACACCTGGGTCCCCGCTCCGGCTGTGCCGCAGGCCGGGCTGCTGCGCCGGGATGGGACCGGCCGCCGGCGTCGTCACCTCTGGGGACTTCCCCGACGAGACGTTGGCCTTCGCCAAGGAGCACCCGCTGCTGCACGGCGCCGTGGCACCCGCCGGCGGGCGGCCCCTCTTCACCCGCACCGGCACCCGGTGAGCCCGGCGGGGGGGGCACCGTGGCCTCGGGGATGGGCGGCCCTGGGGATGGGTGGCTTTGGGGACAGGGTGGCTTTGGGGACAGGGTGGCCTCGGGGATGGGTGGCTTTGGGGACAAGGGGGTGTCTCATGCGAGGAGGATGTGGGTGCGCAGTGGGGTGAGGGGTGCACCCAGCCCTGTGGGTGGGGTGGGTCCTCCTGCAAGGCTCCTCTGCAAGGATGCACAAGGCCCTGGTGCAAGGGGCGTGCAAGGCTACGTGAGGGCGTGCGAAGCCCTGGTGCAAGGGGCATGTGCAGCCCTGGTGCAAGGGGCGTGCGAAGCCCTGGTGCAAGGGGCGTGTGCAGCCCTGGTGCAAGGGGCGTGCGAAGCCCTGGTGCAAGGGGCGTGTGCAGCCCTGGTGCAAGGGGCGTGCGAAGCCCTGGTGCAAGGGGCGTGTGCAGCCCTGGTGCAAGGGGCGTGCGAAGCCCCGGGGCGATGCCGTGCGGGGGTGTGTAAGACGCGGGTGCGAGGGCCCCCGGCGCAAGGGTGTGTAACAGCGTGCGAGGCCCCGGTTTGCAAGCGTGCGCGAGGGCCCCGTGCAGGGGGGTGCGAGGCCCCGTGCGAGGCCCCGTGCGAGGCCCCGTGCGCTGGGCGCAGGCTGACGCAGCTGGCGGTGGACACGGGTGCGGGGCCGCGGGGGAACCAGACCGTGCTCTTCCTGGGCGCCGAGGACGGGCGGGTGCTGAAGGTCCTGGCGGCCGCGCGGCACCCCAGGGTTACCCGGCACCCCGGCGGCACCCCGGCACCCGGTGCCAGCCGCGAGCCCGGGGACACTGGGGACACCGGGGACACCGGGGACACCGGGGACACCGGCTCCGAGACGCTGCTGCTGGAGGAGATCAGCCTCTACGACCCCGGGCGGTGAGTGCCGGGCGCTGGGTGCCCGGGGCTGGGGGTGCTGGGGGACTTGGGTGCTGGGGGGGCACATTGAGGCTGTGGGTGCTGGGGGGCTCATGGGCACTGTGGGTGCTGGGGGGCTCATGGGCACTGTGGATGCTGGGGGGTGCTGGGGGGCTCATGGGCACTGTGGGTGCTGGGGGGCTCATGGGCACTGTGGATGCTGGGGGGTGCTGGGGGGTTCATGGGCACCGTGGGGCTGTGGGTGCTGGGGGCCTGTGGGCACTGATGGGTGCAGTGGCAGTGTGGGTGCCGTACGGGTGCTGGGGGGGCCGTGCAGGTGGCACAGGGCATTGATGGGTGCTGGGGGGGGGGCTGATGGGTGCCATGGGGACACGCGGGAGCTGCATGGCCCTGGGGGTGCTGGGGGGTGCCGATGGGTGCTGCGGGGCGCTGGCGGGGTGCTGTGGGCGCTGGGGCGGGGGGGCGGTCACGACGGGTGCTACGGGGGGGGCGTGGGGGTGCAGGTGCCGAGGTCCCCGGGGTGCCAGCCGGGTGCTGGGGCTGGAGCTGCACCCGCCGGGCCGGGAGCTCTACGTCGCCTTCGCCGGGTGCCTGGTGCGTCTGCCCCTGAGCCGCTGCGCCCGGCACGGTGCCTGCCGCGGGTGAGCGGGGGCACGGGGGCGTGTGAGGGCACAGGGGGGTGCGAGGGCACGGGGGTGTGCAAGGGGAGCATGTGAGGGCACGAGGGGGTGTGAGGGCACGGGGGTGTGCGAGGGTACAGGGGTGTGTGAGGGCACGGGGGCGTGCGAGGGCACGGGGGCGTGTGAGGGCACGGGGGTGTGTGAGGGCACGGGGGCGTGTGAGGGCACAGGGGGGTGCGAGGGCACGGGGGTGTGCAAGGGGAGCATGTGAGGGCACAGGGGGGTGTGAGGGCACGGGGGTGTGCGAGGGTACAGGGGTGTGTGAGGGCACGGGGGTGTGCGAGGGCACGGGGGCATGCGAGGGGAGCGTGTGAGGGCATGGGGGGGTGCAAGGGCACGAGGGTGTGTGAGGGTACAGGGGTGTGCGAGGGGAGCATGTGAGGGCACGGGGGTGTGTGAGGGTACAGGGGTGTGCGAGGGGAGCGTGTGAGGGCACGGGGGGTGCGAGGGCACAAGGGCGTGCAAAGGGAGCACACGAGGGCACAGGGATGTGCAAGGGGAGCGTGTGAGGGGAGCGTGCCAGGGCATGAGGGTGTGCAAGGGCACGGGGATATGTGAGGGCACGGGGGCGTGCGAGGGCACGAGGGGGCGTGAGGGCGCAGGGGTGTGCAAGGGGAGCGTGCGAGGGCATGAGGTGTGCGAGGGCATGAGGGTGCACAAGGGGAGCGTGCGAGGGGAGCGTGCAAGGGCACAAGGCCATGCCAGGGCACGGGGGCGTGCGAGGGCACGGGGATGTGTGAGAGCACAAGGGCGTGCGAGGGGAGCGTGCGAGGGCACGGGGGGGCGCAGGGGCAGCTCCAGCACCCCGGCGCCTGGGTCCCACCGCGCAGGAGCTGCCTGGCCGCCCGGGACCCTTACTGCGTCTGGCTGCCCCCCCGGGGCTGCGTCCCCTTCTCCGAGGACCTTCCGTAAGTGTCCCCCCAGCTTCGGGGGGCTCCCCCCACCCCCCTGATCTCCTGGGTCCCTCTTCCTTGGGGGTGGGGACAGTGGGGACGGTGGGTGACGTCTCCTCCCCCCCACACACACACCCCATGTGCCCCAGGAGCGGCTTCGAGCAGGACGTGGAGGGATCCCCTGGGATCACGGGGACCTGCCAAGGTGAGGGGGGGGACACGGGAGTGTTTGGGGACATAGAGGGTCGCTGTGGGATCCTCTGGGGACGACGAGGTCATGGGGAGATCCAGGGTGATACCGGGGGCCCCAGGACACGTGGGTGGCACTGGAGGATGTGGGGGATGTTGGGGGGACGGCGGTGGCCCCAGGTGACGCGGGTGGCCTGGCCTGACCCCCCCCCTTGCTCCCACAGACGCACCAGCCGCGGGGGACGGGGACTTGGCCCATGGTCAGTGACACCCCATCTGTCCCCCCCACCCGGACCCCCCCGTGGGAGGGACCCTGCAGACCAGGGAGGGACGCGGGAGGGACCCCTGGGCTGGGAGAGGGACCCCAAGGACCGGGGAAGGGACCCTGGGGTTGGGGGGGACCCTCGGGGACAGGAGAGGGACCCCAGGGGTGGGAGAGGGATCCCAGAAAGCAAGAGGGACCCTGGGGAGGGGGGGGGACCCCCAGGGCCCAGGAGGGACCCCAGGGACAGGAGGGGGACCCCAGGGGTGGAAAAGGGACCCTGGGCACCAGGTGGGAACGCAGGGGTAGACCCCAAGGAGCGGGGAGGGGACCCTGGGGAGGGGACCTTGGGGAGGGGGGGAGACCCCAGGGGTGGAAGAGGGATCCCAGAAAGCAAGAGGGGCCCGGGGGAGGGTCAGGGGGGACCCCCAGGGCCCAGGAGGGACCCCGGGGACAGAAGGGGGCCCTGGGGTGGGTCAGGGGGGACCCCCAGGGCCCAGGAGGGACCCCGCGGACAGGAGGGGGCCCTGGGGGGGTCCAGGCCCCCCGCACGGGTGCCGGGCTGACGGGTGCTCCCGCAGGGGTGCGCCAGGCCGGGCTGGGGGCCGCGGTGCCGGTGCCGGTGCTGGTGGGCTGCGTGCTGGGCGCCTTCGCCCTGGGCGCTCTGGGTGCCGGGCTGCTGGCAGCCTGCTGCCGCCGCCCCGCCGCCCCCAAGGGACCCCCGGAGCCCCCCGCCGCTCTGCAGCCCCCCGGCCCCCGCCTCTACCCCCCGCTGCCACCCCCGGGAGGGGCCGGGGGCCCGCGGGACCCCCCCGAGCTGCCCACCCCCGAGGCCACCCCGCAGCCACCCAGCAAGACGCCCCGGGAGCGGGCGACGGAGCCCCGGCGCGGCCAGACCCCCCATCCCAGCACCCCAGGGTGCCCGGAGCCCCCAGGCCCGGGACCCCCACCCAAGGCCGCCCTGGAGGAGCTGCTGCAGCGGGTGCACGGGGCGGGGGGCTCGGGGTGGCCGGTGGCCCCCCCGGGCAGCGGTTCCTTCGCCAGCCTGCTGCGGCCGGGCGCCCCGTTGCCCAGCCTCCCCCCGGCCCCCCGCGACGGGACGCTCCGGCGGCTGGACGTGCCCCCCGACAGCCCCCCCCCGCCCCGGCGGCCCCTGGCACAGAGACACTCGCTGGGGGGGGCGCCCGCCAGACCGCCCGGCCCGGCCCGGGGGCTCACCCGCATGCACTCGCTGGGGACCCCGGGGGGGCCGCCCTGGGGGCCCCAGCCGCGTCCCCTCGCCAGCAAGCCCCCCGTGCTGCCCAAGCCCCTCCCCGTGCCAGCAGCCCCCGGGCGGCCCTGAGCCCCCCCCGGCGGGGACACGGGGACGTCCTGGTCCCCAGCACCCATGGGACCCCCCTGCTGCGGCTGGCGGGGGGGGCCTGAGCCAGCCCCTGCCAGGGTCCCAGCTCTGTGCCATGAGGGTCCCCGTGTCCCCAGGCTGGCCCCCATGGGGGGGGGACGGGGGTCCCCGTGTCCCCAGGCTGGCCCCCATAGGGGGGACAGGGGCCCCCATGGGGTGACAAGGGTCCCCGTGTCCCCCAGCCATCCCATCTCCCTGTCCAGGGTGATGAGGCTCCCCATCTCCCAGAGCTTTTTTGTTTCGTTTTGGTTTTTTTTTTTGATTGTTTCTAATTTATTCGCTGCTCTGGGGGTCGTTGGAGCCACAGCCCCCCCCCCCCAGGGACACCAGGCAGGGGACACGGTGGCTCTCTGTGCCACAGCTGGGCTCGTCCTACCGTGTAGGACCAGGGCTCAGCCCCACACCCATTAAATCCGTGGTCGCTCCACCACCAGTGCCCGCCTGGCTCTGTCTGGGGTGAGGGGGGGACAAGGGAGGGGGGGGGACAAGGTGCCACCAGACCCCCGAGCCCAGCTTGGGGACAGGGGGGTGGCCGTGGGGTGTCCCTGCAGACGGTGGCACGTGAGATACCGGAGGACGTGAAAGGGCTGGCCCCCGGGGAATGAAAAGCTGCTCACTGTGGCCAGGGTATTTTATTAAGAAATAGTACAAAAAAAAAAAAAGTATAAATGTCAAAATTTTGGCATTTCCAACCCTCTACCCTCTGTAAAAGGGGGCCCAAGCGCTTGGGTCAGCACCGCAGGGGAGCTGCCGCCGGGAAGCGGGACTTGACCCCGCACTGAAGACCCCGGCACCGCGCCTGGCCCGGGGAAAGCAATCTGATCAAGGCGAGATTACCGAAATAATGCGATTCGGCACCAAGAAGGGCCCCGGGGTGGGGCGGGAGGGGGGTGCGGGGAGGAACAGCCCCCGCCCAGGGCTGTGGGGACCCCCGCCACGCTCCGCTCGGCGCCGGGCTCCGTTATTCCCCTTGGTGGGCGCTGGGAAAGGATTGAGTTCCTCCTCCGCGCATCCCCGCTGGCGCCGCGGGGCAAGGGGAACCCTGCAGAGCTGCCAACTCGAGGGAAAGAGGCGTCTAATGAACCCCCAAAAGGGGGGTTAATTAGCGCCACGCCACCTCCTCCCCCGCGGAGGAAAGCCGCGGCGCGGCGGAGCCCGGCCCAGCGCCCGTGGGAGGTTCCGTACCCGGCGCTGCCACGGCCAACTGCGCCCGACCCGAAAACTGCTGGTCTTAGCTTAAAAAGCTCCAACTCCTTTCTCTGGATGAGCAGAGGATGCAGCCGGGTTGAAATTCTTTCTGCGTGCTGGGCGGAGATCAAATTCTCCGCGCCTTTGTTCAGACCCCGGCCGCGAGCCCTTCTAAAAATAAAACGGACGTGCGATCCCCCCCGCCCCAGGCGAAGCACTAACACTGGCAGCTTTATTTGTTCCAACTCAACAAACCAAATCCCCTTACCCTGAGCACCACGGAGCTGGGGTTTTTTTTTTTTTTTTTCCCTCCTCTCCTGAAGGGGAAGTTTGTTTCCCAGCTGAAGGGACTTTTTGGCAAAGCTGAGCCTTTTCAGGGGAAGGATGGAAATAACTGAGAAGCGCCAGTGCTGTGGAACACACAACACAGTGTTTGTGCACACTACAGCTGCCGAGCTCTGCAAATTTACAAATAATAAGCACAAATTTCAGGCAGAACGTAAAAGCCGAAGTTGACAGTGTCCCTTTACATCGGTAAACGCTTCCGGGTATCAGAAGAATCTGCTTGGATTTACTTTAATACTGTCTCGAACCCTCCGACACAGGTTTTCAGTTCAAACAGACCCAAACTGTCAACGTTCTGGGGAAAAAAAGAAAATAACGTGTGCTCAAAGTCAGCGAGGGAACGGCGAAGCAATCAACAGCCAGGAACCGAGTCTCTCCAAACACTGATTCATAAAAAATTATTATTAAAGCCTTCTTCAAAATATCTTTTGGAAAAAAGATAAAAAAGTCTTATTTATAAATATAGCTACACTGGTTATAAATAAATGCACTTTGATTCTCCAAACCCCGTGAGTCTCAGGAACAGAAGCAGGCACATGAGGCTTCCTGAACGCAGCCAGCAGAACGCTGCCCATTTCGGCAGATCCCCCCCTCCCTTCAGGCCCAGCCGCCAGGGACCGACCCATCTCAGGCGGAAAAGCAGCTTCCTCTTGGGGTGAGAAACGCCTTGGGAGCCACGGCCGTACCGTCCTAGCTCTGCGAGCCCACTGGTCCTTGCTGCATCCCCAACACCACGATACGCGCCGATCATCGGCCAAGAAACGGTAACAAAGGCAATAACCAAGAGAAAACTGTATTATCTGGACACACACGGGTGGAAATAACTGGGAAAAATGCAATGCAAGGACCATAAGATCAAATTATTGCCTTGAATCCCGCCAACAGTTACAAAACCAGGACAAAAAAAAAGACCCCAAACCCATGAACTATGGGCCGTAAGAGCTAGGGATTTTTATCCTGCAAGAGATATTCTCGGGGAGCAGGCCAGCTGCCAGGGCTCAGACCTGCAAGGCACTCCTCGCCCTTAAAACCCTTCTGCGGCCAACGGCGCTTTGCGTGATGGTATTTTTCTAACCGTCACTTGATAATTTTTCATTATCAAGTTCCACACAATTACTCAGGGTCCTTCCAACCAGTTCCCTGCTGTCTCGAAACCCACGATCCACCGTACTAAATGGATCCCTGCATTAAACAGGCCTGCAAAGAGTAACAAAAATAGGAACGTTTCAGTAACAAGATCAGCTGCTTATTAAAAAAGGTTTTAGTATCTTTAAAAACTGTTTAGTAAAAAAAAGTGACATGTTTGTCATAAAATGCTTTGGGTTGGGAGGGACCTCAAAGCCCCCCAGTGCCCCCCCCTGCCCCGGGCAGGGCCCCCTTCCCCCAGCCCAGGGGGCTCCCAGCCCCGTCCAACCTGGCCTTGAACCCTTCCAGGGAGGGGGCACCCACAGCTGCTCTGGGCACCCTGGGCCAGCGCCTCACCACCCTCACATTAAACAATTTCTGCCTCAGAGCTCACCTAAATCCGCCCTTTTTCGGTGCAAAACCATCCCCCCTCGTCCCATCCCCACCCCCTGACCCAGAGTCCCTCCCCCCCCTCTCCTGTCCCCCCTTTAAGCCCTGGGAGGCCACTCTCAGGGTCCCCCTGGAGCCTTCTCTTCTCCAGGCTGAACCCCCCCAACTCTCTCAGCCCGGCCCCCCAGGGGAGCTGCTCCAGCCCCCCCAGCATCTCCGTGGCCTCCTCTGGCCCCGCTCGAGCAGCTCCGTGTCCTTCTGCTGTTGGGGGCCCCCGAGCTGGCCCCAGCACTGCAGGGGGGTCTCCCCAGAGCGGAGCAGAGGGGGACAATCCCCTCCCTGGCCCTGCTGCCCCCCCTGCTCTGGCTGCAGCCCAGGGCACGGGTGGGTTCTGGGCTGCGAGCACACGGTGCTCCCTCAGAGGGGCAGTTTTCCCCCCACCAACCCCCCCAGTCCCTCTCCTTGGGGCTGCTCTCCAGCCCCTCCTCGACGGCCCAGCCTGGGTCTGTGCTGGGGATTTCCCCGACCCACGGGCAGGCCCTTGCCCTTGGCCTTGCTGAACCCCATGAGGTTTGCTCGGTCCCCCCTCTCCAGCCTGCCCGGGTCCCTCGGGGTGACATCCCTGCCCTCAGCGTGCCCCCCACCACACAGCTCGGGGCCATCGGGGCACTTCCTGAGGGGGCCTCGATCCCACTGTCCGTGTCCCAACAAAGATGGGAAACAGCACCGGGCCCAGCCCCGACCCCCGAGGAACGGCGCTCGTCCCCGCTCTCCTCTTAGCCATCGAGTCCTTGACTGCGACTCTACGAATGCAACCAGCCAGCCACTTCCTTACCCACCAAGGGCTCCGTCCCTCAAACCCATGCCCGTCCAATCTAGAGACAAGGATGTCGTGCGGGACAGCGTTAAATGCTTTGCACAAGTCCAGGTAGACCATGACAGTTGCTCTTCCCTTATCCCCCAGCGCCGTGACCCCGGCGTAAAGGCCACCAAATTCACCAGGCAGGATTTGCCCTTGGTGAAGCCATGCTGGCCGTCGCAACCATCTCCTGATTTTCCACGTGCCCCAGGAGGATGAGCTCCAGAGCAGGATCTCCAGAGACAACTCGACTCCCAAGCTGTCTTGCAGCAACCGCCGTTCGTCTAGTTTTGCTAACGCTACTGTTCAGCGCCAACGTGTCAAACGGAACATTCGGCAAAATACCATAAATTTGAGGTGGAATTTTTTGCGATCCCTTTTGGTAGTTAAGGGGAGGAGCTCCCCCAAATTGTTTCTGAAACAAAGAGGGCGAAGCATGGTACTCCCCAGTATCATGAAATGCTCCAGCTGACAGACACTCAGCCCGGCCTTCGCTCTTGCATTGAAGGTTGCCTCAATCAAAAATTCATGGTTTTGGAAGAAGAAGAATTTGTAATTCACTTTCTGGCTGAAATGGGAAATCCCCTCTGCAGCTCTGAAGATGTTAAAGCAACACCTCAAGAGACTGCTTTTTCTGAAGGTCCAGATCCGGTCACTTGACTTTGCAGAAGGGAGCGGACACCTCCAGTTATTGCAGAAAGTCTGTTTTCAGTGCTGTAATTCCCAGGCAGCTGAGCGCTAATACCAGCTGCTTTGGCAATGAGGTATTTCTTTTCCACTCCCCAACAATGCAGGTGTTGACATCACCAAATAAGCCATCAGATCACCTACTGGCTAAAATTTCATTAAAAAGCTTCCAATCTCTTAAGGTCAAGCTTTAAAAGCACCTTTCGGCACCGTGCTAAAAGCAGAGTTGTGCTGTGAGCGGCTGGAGAAGCTTCGACCCCCGGCGATGGGGTGGCTTTGCCAACAGCCCTCTGCTCTCAACACCGCTTGCCAGCAGCACCTTGTTTTAAAAAAAAAAAAAAAAAAAAAAAAAAAAAAAAAGTTACTTTCCTTCAAAAAAACTCAAGTCTGTCACCAAGGATTAGGAGGTTACAGTTTCCACAGCGATATCAGTTGGCTGATCCGTTTCCAGCATGGACAGCACGCACTCCTTGATGTCTTCTGAGGTGCCCACGAGCGGGTCCACCTCGGCGACCTCCTCGAGCACCGCCACCCCGGTGCCGTTGGGCTGCTGCCTCGCCATGGCCGCCAGCTTCAGCCGGTACTCCTCCGCCTCTCGCTCCTTCTTTCGGAGCTGGCTGCGATATTCCTGAGCCTTCCTGTTCGCCTCTTGCAACTGCTGCTGCAGCGCTTCCCTCTCGACGCTGCTGCCCTACAGAAAACAGAGGTGAGAGAGCCCACGATGGAGGCCCAGTCTGCGACACGAAGGAAGCGGGGTGTGCAAGCGCTCCAAGAGTTCCGAGTCCCAAAAGCAAAATGCTCCAAGGCGGCGCCAGAAGGTGCTTGGGCTGAGTTCTGCT